AAGGATCTGTGAAGTGCAGAAGGAAAGCGTATTGAACGAAAAATGCAGTAAGAAAAATTTCAGAAAAACAGCCAAAACATTTCATACGCTTCTGCCACATACTGAAGTCGAAATACGGTTCATAAAAGTATCCCAAAGTGGAAAAAATCCGCATTTCATTCACTTTTTTCCTTTTTCGGATCCATGACCGAATTTTTTGTTGGCTAGGTTAATTAATATCTGCCATTTTGTTTACAAGACAAAATACATTGGGATCATATAAATAGCTGCATATATGTACATACATATCTATGTTCTGCATCAAAAAGAAAATTAAAAAAATGAGCAAATTTTTTAGCGGTTAGCACTCAATATGTACTAAGTAATTAAATAAAAACAAAAAAATTATATTTATTGGGAACGGAAGTAGAGCCAAGAGCGGAGCTCGGAGCGGAGCTAGAGTGCAGTGATAAAAAAAACCTCTTTGGTGCATTGTACCTACACTTCCATTCACAAACGTACGCTTTTCGCAATATTTTCTAAAGTTTTTCGTACACTTGTTCTGAATACTAGAACTATCAAAATACATTTTTGTAAATTATGTTTGAATTTTACAGTATGCCCTTCCAAGGAAGGTACATTTATTTCCCAGTGCTCAGTGAGTTTTTTTAACACACGGCATCAACCAAGCTATGCCCAAACGTCATAGTTTCTGATTAACCTGATTCTGATTGTGTTTACACTGCATTTAGTTTTAGTTTTTTTTTTTCAACATCCAATTATGATAAATGCAATAAGTTCTACCTATAAAAGCAAAATTGCTAGGTTCACTATTTTCAAAATGTACATTTGCAATGAATATTTAATTAATTCCTTTTTTTTAATTTTGCATCATGCCGCAAAAAAGTAGCTAACTTTTGTTGGAGTTTTCTATATTTTTTTATTGTTTAGCAGCAATTATGCAAGTCCTGGGTTAACCTTCATATGCTCGGGATTAAAAACTTGCGTAGATCAGCGGGAAGTCTGAATTTTTAGCAAGCATAAATTTCTGTGGATAACCATTTAAAAACATAAAAAAACACGATTACGCTAACTGTTACACTGTTTAATTTGAACATGTGAGGATAAATTTACAGAAAAATTGAAGCTGAATGTGCAGAAATGCTTGCTGTTATTTGCTTACTTTCAAAAGGTCCACGTCCAAATACCATCAGAGGCAAAATGTTAAAATTATAATAAACATTTTTCTTTTGTATATGAAAAAACATCTGCTAAGTGCAGAAAATAAGTGTATTCAAACGAAAAAATCAGCAAAAAAAAAAGGGGTTTAATGTAAACAAAAGTGTAGTTAATATCACCAAGTCGTTTTTGAAAATATCAAAAATTAAATGGGATTACTTGAAAGTGTTGAAATAGGAGACGTTAAGTAACGAGAGAGAATTCTAGACGATGCTTCCACAAATCGTAGCCTGGCACCACATCCTCCTCTGATTCGTTATTAGTTTTGTTCTCCAATTTTGTGGGGTATTTTAGTTTTAACCATAGGAAGGTCGAGTGGTTCATATCGTGATTCGTTTTTGCAAAAACTACTTCGTAGGGGTACATGTACTCGAATATATATTTCTAAGTACTGGTATTAGAACACTACTAACTGTGCATCCTAAATCCATAGATTTTCATATTCTTGTAAAGTTTTTGTTTAAGACTTTTGTATAAGATTTGAACCCCTTAGCTGCACTATGTTCACGCATATGTTCAAAAAGGAATGTTCTGGTAAGTGTTCTGGTGTTAAAATGTTCTTAACATATTTTTATTTTTTTTTTAACGCTAGACAAAAGTTTTTGTTGGTGTTAATTGAAATAAAAAATGATATGTATTTAATCGGATTTTGCTTCAAAAAGTCAAAACTTCATCTTGGTTGTAAAAAACGTACAGATTGACCACCACTTGCGGAAATTAAAGTTTGGGCATAACATAGTTGAGATCCTAAAATTTCCATAACGCTCTGTTATACAAAAAAAAAAACTCTTGAAGTCTTTGACCTGTAGTTATAGCCAAAATAAAGTCGACTCTAAGGCTAAAAGCAGCTTTTATGATAGACATCCCATCGAAAGTTGTGTCAACGAGCTGCTCTTAGCTTTATAGGTGACTTCGATCTTTCACTGCGAACGAAAGACAGTCAGACGAGTTCTGGTCAATAACTTAGTTCAGTAAAAGCCGTCAATACAATTATCTCTTTCAAAACTACTATAAAGTGGCTAATCTAAAAAAAATGTATACAATTGTTGGATTATTTTATTTGTTAATTGATTTCGCATGAATAAATCGGATTTGGTTGGATTACTGATACGGTTTAAATTTGCTAATCGTCAGCGTCTACTTACAGTAAGTGTCTATACATATATTTATCTATATTCTTAAGGGCTACCTTGAAAATAATTTCATTTATAATACAATCGAATAACGCTACGCATTTTTTATCTACAAGGCAATGCATTTACATAGTTGTTAGACTTTGATGTGGTACTTATTGCTAAAAAATGTGTTTTTGTGCTGAGCCCAATTTGTTTTTTTTTTTTTGCTTTTGGTGAAATGCTATGATAACAGAAATGTGGAATATCTATTTACTTATATAGTAGAGATGTTAAATTAAAAGTAGTAAAAATATAAACAAGGTTTTAAAATCTTGTATACAGATATTATTCTTGGCGATGCTCTTTACTGATATGCAGATTTTTTATGAGAACTTTTTTTTTTATATGATGAGTTCACTTGAGGTTTCAAAAATTATGCATTATGTATGTATGTTGTTAGTATTGCGGCTTAAAACTTAAACTCAAAAATAACAAAATTATTTTTTTGTTGGATACACCAGTTAATAATATATCACCGTGCGGCAATAACAAAAAAAAAATATAATACAAAACACGTGGAATAATCATTAAGCAGTGTTTGCATTATTCAACTTTGCATTCAACAATTGCGTTCAACTCAACGCAGGGTTGCACGAAAAAAAAGTTGAATGGCTAAATGTTGGCTGGCGACCAACTTTGTTGAAAGCGATTAATTGAAAGGCCATTCAACCAAAAGTTGAATGCAAAGTTGAACAATGCAAACACCTTTTTATGGCGAATATTTTGATATTTTGATATTTTTTCATATTTTGATATTTTTAGCCATTCAACTTTTTTTCGTGCAACCCTGCGCTGAGTTGAACGCAAAGTTGAACAATGCCAACACACTTTTATACTCAATACTATGGGCCAAACAAAGTAAAAAAAAACCAGAGGCATAACTATTATAAGACAAAAAAATAAAAGTCAATCAATGATTATTATATTAAAATAAAAAAATAAATAAAAGTCTATGAAGACTTAAGAATATTTTTCTCGCTGATAATTGTTACGAAAATACTTTTATTATACAATTCTTAAAATAATAATTATCGATGACTTAAAAAATTTTTCTCACACATAATTATTATCAAAAGACTTTTATAATTCTAAAAAAAATAATTTGAAAAAATTTTGTATTCAGATCATGTTTTGCATTTAAATGCTATATTTGGTGTTACCTCCGATAATATTCGTATATGGTTGCCACTTATCCAAAAATATTTATGAACTAAATAATACATTATATTGGTTATCAAATGAAAAGTAATTTAAACACTTAAACATCTAAAATATTTTTGAATATTTCCATTATATATTTATTCGGTTTATTGTTTAGAAAATAAAGATAAAATATTATATACTATTCATTGGTACTAAAAGAAAGCAATATTCGGAAAGTTTCTCCCAATTGAAGGCAACGTCTTTAACGGTTTTTCTAAACTAAAAAGGCGCGAAATAGACAAAAAATTTAGATAAAAGGAAAAGTAAAAAATTATTTGTTATCTTTTATGCTTAATTAGTTAAAATAAAAAAGTAGCTTATTTTGGTTGTTTTGTTAGAATAATTGGAGTTTTTCCGACTCTAAATACTTAATTTAAACATTTACCAATTTAAATGTAATTTTTTGTAAACATTTTGAGTTAAAGTTTTCATTTGGGAAATACCTCGATTTCAAGGGCCAGATTCATTGGCTCGCCTACTTTAAATTGTCCGAGAAAAGGTAAGGTATCAAATACTTACACGCAAATTCATAAAATATAAAGTCGACTTTAAATAGAAAATTTGTATGAATATGTCCCTTTATAGAGCTCCTTAAATATATTTTATTTTTTTATGAATACGGCCATTAGATTATATTTAAGAAGCGCTGCAAAAACAAATTTTTCGACAAGTAAATTGTGTATGCCAGTGAAAAGAGAACATTTGGTTGGCTATAGTGGCATACATATGTACATACTTATGTACATACATGTAAGTTATTCAAATAAAATTAAAAGTGTCGAAAACTGTCACTAGAAAATTCGGAGTATAAGAAGAGCTGATTGATTATTCACGCATTGTAAATTTGCAATTTAGCGAACTATGCACCTTGGAATATATATATCGCTACCTAAAGGTGAAAAGGTGCCAAGTCCATTTTTTTTTTAATTGTTCAGCAAATACGAAAAATCGATATAGATTCGCATTATCTGCCAGTCTGCATCAAAACCTAAATTAAAAAAGAAAAGTGGACTTGGCACCTTTTCATCTTAAGGTAGCGATTTGTATATCATGCAACAACATATGTGAACAAGCAAGCGAAATATTAAAGTAAAGTGAACTTGAATGCAAAATGAAAAAAACAAAATGTGGAACGATTAAACACAGGTTAATTTTATGGATGATGATAATCTTCGTTTCGCTAATTTTGCATAACAAAAACAAATTATTTATTAAACTGCAAAACTTTAGCATATTATTTGAAAATTTATTTCCAGTACATTTTTTGCTTTTTACTTTTCCGCCTTATTCAACCTGCTTGCTTTTAGAATTAGTTCTCGTATTATTTTAAACTAATTACTTAGCACTAAGCCTTATAAGTACATACAAACTAATTTAGTTATTTAGGTAATTTATTGCGCTAACAAAATATTTACAGCACTTCAAAGCTTCATGACGTTCTTCGGCAGCCTGCTCCTTGACACCTCCAAGCTTACATAAATCGCAGTTCTGATCCCCACTTCTTGCTCTTCTCTCACCCGCTTAGCCACTCCGAGGCATTCGTATAATCGTGAAGTGAAGTGAACTCATCTGCGCGCTTGGCAGCGTTTTGACTTAAATTTGCGAAAATGCGATGAAATCTGCAAAACAAAAATAAACATAAATAAGTAAAAGCAAATGCAAAATAAACATAACAAACGATAAGAATACAGAGTTGCAATTGGCCGTGGGGGAGACAAATGAAAAACTACTAAAATGGATACGCGAAAAATGGAGAGCAAAAGCATGGATAGATAGTCAGTCGGATTGCATAAACTGGCAGTGACGTAGTTTTATGAAAAAAATATATTCAAATACATAGTACATACTATATACATTGGAGGTCAAAACATATGCAGCTAATGTAATTTTTTTTAGCAAGGTTTACAAAAACCAGTTTTTAAGGTAAAAAATATCTCATTAGCTTTTATAGGTAGGAAGGTGTCAAAAATAGGAATTCGGTAAGATTTTCTATAATGCGACAAACCATAGAAACGCAAATTTGTTTGCAAATTTCGGCACTATATCCTTCACTTAATAACATATAATCCGCAACCTTTTTTTCTTTCTTCAAGAAATGGGGATGGCAATTTTAGGACCAAAACTAAAAATATTCTACAATTTTTATGGATTGGTCGCTTAAAAAACAAATTTTTTATTTTGTGAAGATTTTTTATTTTGCTCCATATTACCCACGGTGTTTGTTATCTTTGCTTAGACCATGCGGCCTTTAAAATATGGTTTTAATATGTTTTAAACACGAACGTCTAATCCAAAATCGGCGACATTTCGGCTAACGGTTTGGATTTTTCAAGTTTAACGGAATTTGAGCTACACATCCTCTAATTTTGGATGAAATATCTAAATTGTATATGTACAGGACGTTTCATGTGAAGTGAGCAACCGTCGCACAGTGCGCGAAATCCAAAAGTTCGGCAACATTTCTGGATAGGGCTTTTCCACCATTAAGTTGGCTTAAAGGAACCCCTAAGAAGCGAAAACCGTTCACAGTAACCGCTTGTACCCAAAGTTCCCTCTTTCACATCGCCCAAGCACAACATTATGGTAAATTCGAACAGAAAAGTTATAAACATGTAGAATTACTGCAAGTAAACGAAATCCCGCAAAACCAAATGGAATCTACGTCTCAAGGTTAGTAAAATACATAAAAAATTTCGTGAATATCAACACTGCAACATAAATTTTTTTTAGAAGTAGAAATATAATGGTCGAATTTGGAAAAACTTCTTTTAAGCTTCGAATTTTGGCCCCGCTTTCGGATTACGTTCGTACTGTGCTCTGTGTCAAAAATTCGGATCTTTACAGGAAGTCTCTCATAGCCTAAGAGTCTTCAGATGTGCATTGAGTTAAAAAAAAAACACAGCCCTTTGTGAAAATCAATATGGCTTTTCAACTATGACGTCTAAACTAACTGTAAATTAGACTTAAACTTAAAAATGTTGTGCATTTTGAGAACCCAATACTAAAAAAGAAAAAGTATAAGCAGTTTTTAATGGTTCTTGGGGTTTTTGATTAAGAATCTGGAATCTGATTTTGAAAATTCAAAAACTAAGTACTTTGGGGGTTTTGGGTTCTCTGATTACGAATCTAGAATTAGGTTTTAAAAATTGAAAATGAAGTATATATATTAGATCTAAAATCTATCACGGTACGCAAATTCAATTATAACTTATGTATTCCGTTATAAATGTTAGACCAAATATGGATCCACCATTTTGATTTTCTAAAATCTGATTTTAGATTCATAGTCCGCGATCTCTAGAACCCTCGATTGTAAAGTTTAACGCGAATCTATTTTAATTTTGTTGAATTTTACCAATCTCACTTTAGATACAAGCGGATAAAATTAATTTAAATTTTTTCGGCGCCATATTGGAACCGACATTTAGAATTTTTAAAATCAGGCCCCATATTCATAATCAATTGCTTAAAAAAACTTAGGAATCCGCTTTCACTATTCACTAGCTAATTACTCTGTAGGTAAAAGCTCAAGTTTTGAAATGACATGAGTTTTGAGTCGTAGATTACGAATCTGAATTCTGTTTTTCCAGATGAGGTAATTTTTATAAAAAATAGATCAAACTTTAACAGGGGAAAAATTAAAGAAGAAGAGATTCGTGTGTATAAGAACCTGTTCTTTTACAAGCTGCTAACGAAGAAAATCGATAGATAAATAAAAAAGTTGTGAATGGTCAAAAGAAAATGCGTAATTATATTTTTTGTATGAAATATGAGCAGGAAAGAACGTTACTTATAAGCCAATGCAAATGAAAATGTCTTGGTAAATCACCTGGCTCCGAATCGAATAAAACAAAATCGCAGCTGTTTTATCAACAATATGCTATTTAAAAAGGCGAAGCACGCGCTTTTGAATGCCATGATCTCAAATCAAATTTCGATTCGAGTTGCGAACGATTACGAATGCCTCGATTCGGGCCCTAATCTAGAAAAACGGTGTACAGATCCTAATTTTCGACACAAAGTTAAGTTTACGTGTGTCGGAGTAAACCAGTAGATCTCAAAAAAGCTGTTAGTTAGATAAAGAGAAAAGTTTTTAAAACATACATACGTATATTTTGATCACCACTGTATATGTACGATATGCATATAAAACTTATCTTCGTCGTTCTCTTTTTATCAGTTGGTAACAGCTGCTTGATTTGTGTGTGTGTGTGTCAACTTGCTGTTTGTTGGACTGCAAGTGTATAAATTGGCCTGCAGCCAAATATCGTTACAGCCATAGACAGACCCCCGAAAAAAGTTCAAAAGCATTAAGTAATTTTTTCATGCTTTTAAGGCAAACAAAGTTTAAATGGAAATGCATACATATTTCATATGCAGGCCCTAAAGAGAACGGCCAAAAGTGAAATTCGGGGGAAAGTTTGTGACAAGACCACTTTTCTCTTTCCTGAAAAATATGGTCTTTATCTTGATATTTTGGTTTCTTTTTTTCTCTCGTTAAGTGACACTTAATATTCCTACACAAACTAAATTTTCGGTTGGCTTTCAGAATTGGAGCTTTTCCTAAGACTGGCTTATGTAGAAAACATGGCGGCATCTTTTAAGTTACCTTGCCGAGTTATTTAATTTAAAAAAAAATATATATCTTGCTATTTTCAAGAAAAAATGAGCGCCGAACAACGTGAAATAATAAAAACTAATAAAAAAGTGTCTTAGCGCCTAAGAGCATGCTATATTTTTTATTTCTTGCAACGCTATTTGCTGGCATATTTACACAAGTACTTTGTTAGTAGTTTCGTATTGTATTTTTTTTATGTTTTTTCCCCCTTTCCGAAAGGATTTCGTGGTTTCGGCTTGCATTTGCATAACATTTTGTGGTCAGTAGACGTTCACATTACACAGCTGCGAGGTGTACAGAACTTGTATAAGAATAAGTATATGTATGTATAAGAATATTTGTGATGCGCTAAACCATATGTACTTAAATATATGTATGTGCGTGTTTTGAGCTATTACTTCCATTCGAGCCACTCTCTAGCTAGAGATTCGCTTACTAAGAATTCAAACCCTTTTTTTTGCGCCTTCTATCTGTATATAATTTTGGATTTCTCCGCCCAGTTACTACTACGACTTATTATACTCTTAAGTACAAAAGCGGCAACGACAACAAGAACAATAACGCGCGCCAGTAGCATATCCCGTTTTCATGTTTTCCTACTTTTTCTAAATGCATTACATTTTGTGTTTAACTCACTTTCATTTATATTTACTTTTCATTTGATTTGCTTTTTTATGGTTTTTAATGTGGTTTTTAATGCTAGTACAAGGACACTTTTTCACGACTCACTATAGTATTGTGTCTCAGTTGCTTTTACGACGCTTGACTATTTGGCGTGAAACATGAATTTTTCATTTCCAAAAAATGTATGTATGTATGTATGCGAACAATGGCTGAAACAATTGTTTGCAGATAAAAGATAGTAATAAGGCGGACAAAAGGATGCTTACAAGCAATTATGTAAAAGCACTTACTTATGCACAAGCAAATTTGCATACGGGCAAATCTCCGGAACAGTGCGATTCAACGTTAAGAAAAAACGTAAATTTTTAAATTCAACGCATAAAAACAAATTATAAAAACATCAAATTGTTTGAAATCCATTAAGGAAAAAATAAATTCTTGCGTGATTAATTTTCTTTAAATGCTTAAAAATTTATAAGTAAAAAGGAATCTTTTTCGAAAACTCGAGGTTAGCAATATTTCTAGGGGGCTTGCTTTTTGTCCGATTTTAAAAATTTTCAGGACGGTATTTAAGAAGATCACGCGCAATTCCAATTTGTATACCAAATTTGGTACAGATTAGTAGAGTAGTTTTCGAAATAAAAATATTTAACAGCTGATTAAGTTAAGTGGCATTTTCGCAAGTTTTGGCTGTTTATTTAATGTTTATAGTTTTTTAATAAAAGTCTAGCACATAACATAACCAGCACCAAATAAATTCATTTTTCAGACTTATTGCAAAAATGAAAAAATTTAAAATTTCTTGCATATAAAAGAAATTGTCGAGCATACGAAGAAAGTGTCAAGCACGGTTAGCCAAAAAAAAAAATATTACAAGTCAACGCGATTTTTTAATGTCCTTATCTTTACACTTTAAATTACTAAAATTGTTCGAAAACTTGTGAATAAAAAGTTTGGAATTTTTCGGTGCAATTGTTAAAGTTTGTTGATTTTTTATAATGCATATTTAGTTCGAAATGTGAACTCATGTGGTGCTGATTATGCAATGTGCTAGACTTTTACATAAACAAAAAAAATACAAAGATTAAATAAGCAAAAGAAAAGTAGCCAAACTGGCCAAAATGTCACTTAACTTAATCAGCTGACAACAATGGTTTGTGGACGTGCCACACCCAATTTACAAAAAAATTAAAAAAAAAACTACTTTTTGCTTTACATATGTATATACACACATATAAATTCATGGCCGTATTTTAAACAAAAATTATTTTATGTACAATTTAGCATTTTGAACTATATAGGCTACGTGCAATAATGTCAATGGAATTAATGTCAGTCACAACAATACTTCACGCTCTAAAAGCGATGTATG